TTATTATTATTATTATTATTCTTCCGTTATACTCATATACAAGCAGTGTTTATGACGAGTTCTTGTGTAATGTTAAATACAGACAAGAGTTGGTTATACAGAAGGAATGCTTAGTGTTGAATGATGCCAAGAATATAATAGAAATATAGAAAAATTAATGGAAGACAGAATTTGATATTCACAATACAGATTTCCAGCTCAGAAATAATAAATTAAATCAGATAGTAAATTCATCTAAATAAAGAATCACAATCTAGAAACTCTTCATTGCAAAATCAAGATAATGAAGTCAATTGATGTCTTTGAAGAGTAATAACATTGCAACTACTGTCACTGATCACAAAAGTAATGCACAACAGACATCTCATTTCTTTCATGCAATGAAAATGAAGAACTACAATTTTATGTTGGAATTTCTTTGATTAAGATAAACAAATTCTCTTATAAATTGATCAGATGAACAATTCTTCTTCAGAAACTCTGAAAATGAACAACAATTAAATTATTTCTGAACAAAATGTTTCAACTAAAGTTCTCACAGAAGTTAAAGTAGAAATGCTTGTAATATTATCTACAGAATGTTCAAAAAACTCAAAACATGCTTTATATATATTTTCAACTGTATATTCAAACTTGCTGATCAGTCTATCTGATTATATTATCATACATGCATATCTTCTCAGAAGAAGCTGCTATGAGCATGTAAATATCAGAAAAAATGAAAGATTATATAGATTTCAAATCTGGTGCACAATCTTCATTTATATTGATATACAATCTCTCTGAAACTGAATTAACTGCTCTAAAAGAATATTTAAAAAATGTATTAAATAAAGAGTGAATATAATCATTCAGTAACTCAGTCAATGCATCAATTCTCTTTATCTTTAAAAAAGATAATGAACTCTGTCTCTGTGTACAGATGTTCTGCAAAAAGTTTTGTCTCGCCCTACTAAGCACTAAAAACGCCACAATTTTCTTCTGAAATACGCACTGAAATTAATACTGAAGGATCCTATATCTCATTCTTTTATTATCATGGAAACCCTTTAGTTTACAGTGTAATTAGTGCCCGTCTTCCTATCTTATATTC